AGTTTTTATTTAAATATAGATATATAGAATGATTCATATGTTTAAAATAACTTTTTCACTTTTTAAAAATATAATTATTATAAACTATTATTATGGGATATTTTTAAATTCAAAATAAATAATATATATATATATAGAATTTATTTCAAAAAAAATCAGAAATTTATTTTTCATCTTACTATTTATTTTTGTATAATTTAATGATAAAAAATAGTTAATTATCTTAATTATTAAATTAAAAAAATGAATAACTTATATGTAAAACACATTTACACAAAAGGTTTATTATTTCTATGATATGATCTCCATTATCATTCAATAGTTTTCATATTAATATTCTAATTGTGTTTCAGAAAATAATAGACAGATATATAGAGAGACGGTCCAACAGTAATACCTTGGATAATCAAAACCATAGATTTCTCATTGAAATGAAAGAATAATACAATATTGAGAACAAATTTGTTATTGTTGACACACCTTAATACTTTCCACACTTTGACCTCATCTCCCCAAGGAAAAATGAATGTAACGACAGTCAGTTAGCCCACAAAGAATGCCAAAAAGGGCCATTTGAAGGACAAAAAGATAGAAAAAAGCCTTTAAATAACATTCAGAAAGTTTTGACAGCAATTTCTAGTTAATATTTAACACTTTGGGAGGTCAGCTGGTGGGGGAAGCAGCTTCTGATTTGGAAGTTCTCCATCCAACACGATCCATGCCATCTTTAGACCCCAGCTCGTGTGCACTTCCAGATGGCAATGCATGAACCATACCCCTGCAATTATTCCATACCCTTTTTATACTCAATTCCGAACCTTCAAACCAGCACATTTAGTGTGTTACTCTATATATGTTGGAGTGTTTTATTTATCACAACACAAGTATGTTTATTTTAGACCAAATAGCTTTATTTTTCATTTATATTTCTGTAAATCACAAATTAAGGAACTGTCTTAGACAACTTTAAGCCTATAATTTATATTACTAAGAGATAGCAAGAGGAAGTCAAATCACTTACCTGGGTTATCCGCAAAGAAACGGATGGCCACCCATCCACCAGATGGGACACCAACTGTGTTCCTTTCAACAGGGTCAACAAGATTGAACTTTGCTGGGTCCTTACTTGGATCGAAGTTGCCAAAACCTTGGCCAACAACAAAGAAGTTAAAGCCATGCAAATGGAGCGGGTGACTTTCAGCACCCAGAATGCTGGTGTCCTGCATCACAAGCTCTACACTTGTGTTGAAGGGAAGGACAGCAACCTTTGTCCCATTGCTCACCATGGTGTTGTTTGGTGGGGTGCCTGTGTAGTTGAAAGGAAACAGTGGTTTGCTTGGGAAGTCAGGGGTGTAAACCCCGTTTGATTGACCAAAGAAGTGGGCTTGAAGAAGAGCGGTTGTTGGGAGTGTGAAAGACACATTATTCACTGATGCTGCGAATTTTGTTACATTGGTTGGTCCTTGACAAGTTTGGTTTTGTTGGCAGGGACTTGTGCCAAGGCCTACTGTGAAGAAAAAGTGCTTATCAACTTTCTGGGGAACATTTGCAGGAAACCGAGAGCTTGCCAAACTACGAAGCTTGTTGGCGAAGCTTGTTGCAAAAGAAGTGTCATTAAGAGCAGGGAGAATGGGCTTGAAGAGTGAAATCTTCTTGATTGAATTTGTTGACTGGATATGAGATGGAACTTCGTATTCCAGGATACCAGCCACAGTTGAGTTGTCAAAAGTGCCCTGGCCAGTTACATATGGTCTAGCGTTCATGAAGAATGTGGCATTGGGGTATTTGGATTTGGTTTTGAGAAGAACATTGGTGGTTTGTCCAGGGGCAATGAGAATACTGTCAGTCTCAAATGGCTTAACATAAATTGCATCTACGTCAACAACTGTGAGAGTGTGATTTGCAATGCTGAAGAAGAGTTCGTCATTGAGTGCAGCATTGATCAACCGGAGAAGGTATGTCTTCCCTGCCTTCACCTTTAGCTTGAATGTATCTGAAAAAAGACCAATATTTTCATTTAGAATCACCTACCTAATCTTAATTCATAACCATATGGCAAAGTAATACTGTTGATAATCTTGGAAATTTGACCACTATTAATCACATAATATGGGGTACTCGTGAGCGACTCTCCTTTTAGGCAGTTGATGTGTATACCTTTAGAAGAACAGTTATACAATGGCCCCGGAAGTCCATTAATAGTGTAGGCATCAGACACATTTGGTCCTCCACCTGTCTGCAATGCTTGTGTTATGACTGCCTCGGGATCTGCATTCCACCATTCTCCTGAAAAAATATTTATATTAGGTCATTTTTTTAGTAGATGCAGGTAATAGAGGAACATTATGGTATGATGTCACAATCATTTTTGCATTATTACCAAAGATAATGGGAACTTCCTTGTAAGGTTTGGTAAAAGGATATGGAACTCCATGCTTGGGAAGAATGATGATGGGACCATACAGAGTTGATCTTAACCATGAAATGTGGGCATGCCAAAAGAGAGTGCCTCTCTGGCCTACAACAGTGTAATTGTAGACATAACTTTGGCCTGTTTGAATGGGGCACTGAGTCACGTAGGCAGGTCCATCAGCCCAACCTGATCGAAGCTGTCGAATGCCATGCCTGTTTGGAAGGTAACCAAGTTTTTTTTAACACGTGAAAGTTCACTTTAAAAACCATGTAATATGTTCAATTTCTTCTTAACCAAGTTTTCCAAAACATAATAATTTTACCAATGGATGGAGATGTTGTTCTGAACATGGTTAACCACTTTGATAAGAAGACGATCACCCTCCCTGGCAACAATGCGGGGCCCAGGAAACTGGCCATTCACTGTGACCATGCTCTTTGTGTGGCATAGTCGCGATACATTTTGGTACTTTATCTACATAAAACAAATAAGCCAATATTACATACAAAGCAAACATACATGGGCAAGTATGCTAAAAAGAATGTGGAATTCAAATGGTTTTCGCTTTAAACAACACAAGTCAGCTAAGATAAAGATATGAAGTGCTTATGAGATGTACATCAAAATGGTAGTGCCTGGTAATGCCCCCTAGTGCTAGCTGAGGTATGATGATCAATGAGAAGAGAAATATTGCTGGTAATGCAAATGATTGTAGAGAAGGAACAGCCATATTTCTTGGCTCTAGAGAGTGCAATGCAAAAAATATAAACTTCAAACACTATTTTGTTTGAGTCTGAACTGTGGATGAAGTAGAACTCATTGATAGGTAATTTATAGAGGAATGATACAATGTGGTTGTTGCGATGTGTAAAGTCTCCATAAAATCTTCAAGTGTTTCCTTTTCATTTTTTAATGAGATCAGTTGTTAGAACAACTCTAGAGTGGTGTCGAAGACAATCAATTTCACTTGAACATTGGTCTCCTTTTTGTTGAAGTCAAACCTTTTTGAGATTTGACTGTGTTAATATATCGATCTTGCAACTCATTCAAAATATATTTGACACTCTTTTTTTGTGTATTAAAATCAGAGTTAGTCATGTCAAGTGTGTTCAAGTAAAAAGGAACTGGTTTGTAAATTTATTATGATAGAAAAAGTGAAAAAGTGAAATTAGTAAACCATAGCACATAGAAAAGTTTATACATACACTTTTCAATTCATCATGCAATTCTTAACTTCAGTTTCCTAGCACTTCTTTTCATGAATTGATTAAAGCGTATATCGGTATATCCTTTCCTGATATATCTCCAAATCAATTTGATTAGACTCTTTTCTACCACAGGTTTAAACCAGTTTGAAACCCCAAAGCCACCGCCATTGAAGGTTCATTATCAGCAGAAAATCCTTGAGAAATTTTGGTGAGATGTAACTCTCACAACCAATCTTCTTGGAGCCAAAGTAATTGATAATTAGATCCTATCAAGTAGTCACTGTATCCTCGTTGTTTACCATATTCTTTGAAATAGCCACAAACTACATGACAGATAACATGCATGCCATAACAAAGAAACCATAATGAAACTTGGCTCTCTTTCAAGAAAGAATGCTAAGTTGTAATCACCATATAATCCACTGCATCATAATCATAGAAAACATGATACACCTATTTTGTCATTTCTACACTTAATCCCCTACACATACACTTATCACTAAAAGAAATTTCTATATTCAACCACCTTAATGTCCCCACTAACTGTACGTTCCTCTATTTTCTCCAAAATGGTAGGTGTAAGGTAAGGTGCCATCAGTTTAGATGTAGAAATAACATGTTGAAACGATATAATTAACCAAATTGAACATTTAAGTTGCCTTACCTGCTATCTCTATCACGCAACCTCTCCTTGTGTTCGAAGCATACGTACACATACATTCATGTTCATCAAAATTTGTTTCATCATTTTTAGTATCTCTGCATGAAGAGTTTAGTTGAAGATATTTGGTTCTATCAGTGGATTAATGGCTTTTTAGTTGTCAGATTTTAACAAGGAAAGTATAATTGATAACGTACGGCACCGCATTCTCCTTGATTATTATGCAGAATAACTTGTTTGTGATGTTCATCTCCACACTACATAAAGTCGAGATTTTAGTATTTTCATCAGAAATGTTCGTATATCCGAAACAAGAAACTTCAAACATTCCAAAAATGATAATACTAACGTAGCAAAAAACATAGAAAAACATATAAATTACACTATTTAAAATTTAGTTAAATTATAAAGACAAAAAAAAAAAAAAACTATGAATGTTTCATAGTAAAAAATTAGAAGTTACTATAGGGAATACAAATACGACTGGGTTGCCCCCTAATGAAGTGACTAAAAAGTGAGGGAATCTAGCTTTAACCTTCCATACAAAAACGGATTAGGATTAGTGAGAGATACTTTCCTTTAATGAAGAAAAAAATAGCTCTGGTTAAGGTGAGGGTTAAGCATAAGTAAAATTAAAGGAACCTTTTTCAATAAAATATTAAAACACATATATATTGAGCTATGAGATTTTAAAGATTTAGGAATATGCACTTTATGAATGGATCAAGCTAAGAATAAAATTTCAGAATGTGTTATATATTCCATGTTAAGACGAATAAGTGCATTGTGGATGAAAATGGAGATGCTGATGAAGAGCATTGGAAGGCAATTTATTTGTTGTTGTGTGCTTTTGCATGTTCTTGTTGCTTGTGGTGAGAGTCTAGAAGCACCAGAACTTAAGGTAACTAACAATGTTTTTTGTTTATTTATTTAACAATATTACTAATAACTTTGGTCCATGTCTTTGTATTATAATTTTGAATACGCATTCAAAATAGATTTTTTTTTATTGACATCGCATTAAGACATATAATTAATTTTCATTGACCATTTAAATAAATTTTTATTTGTAATATTTTGTTCTTTTTCAATACTATTTAATTTATTATCATAAGAAATGTTCTTTATTAAGAATAATTATAAATACCGACAATATATAACTTCGAAAATTGATTAGAATTTTTAGAAAAAAAAATCGCTTTGTTTTAATTTGCATTCAATAGGTTTAAAATAATTCCACGAAAAATATTTTTAATATTTGCTTTAAGTTAAATTCCCAAGAATTAAAATATGATTTTTATCGAAAATTCGAAATCGTTACTAATTAAAAAGTAAGGCAAATTTCTAATTATAAAATGAATTTGAGTCCAATGAAAGAACTTTTCTCAAATGTTAAATGGTTACATAAACAACTAATGAGATTAAAATAAATTAAATATTAACCAGGTATGTAATTAAATTAAAGTATATAAATAAAACGTAATTATTAACATAAACCTACTTTAGGTAATTGAATTAGGTGAAAACCAGAATTACAAAAGAGAATGATAACATATTTTATCCTATTACCTATCAGACGTGAATAATTTTCTCTTTATCTGTAGATATTATGAATTCATGTTATGTTATTGTTATTTTCCTTTTCTAACAAATAAAACTTGTGTTTGCACAAGCAGAAAAACTGCACCTATGTGATAACGATAGAAACCACATGCACATGGGGAGCTGAAACCTCAAACCTTGTGAGTCTGAGGTTTGGTGACACAAACTCAAATGGCATAGTGGTAAGGCACCTAAACGCGAAGCACTTAAGGAAAGTTGATCCATTGGATCCTGGGGTTCTTGATGACATGCCTAGGAAACCATTCCAAGCATGCATGGTGGACCAGTTTGAGGTGACAGCACCATGTGTTGAGTCCCCCATTTGTTACTTGTACCTCAAGCTCATTGGAAACGATGATTGGAGACCAGGTTTTGCTCAGATTCAGGTGCTTGAAGGCTCTCATCTAAGCTCTGATTACTTCTATTTCAGGAGATTTATGCCCAGACATGTGTGGCATGGCTCTGATGTGTGTGACAGTGAGGTTACACCTTTTGGACTCAAGAAGAAGAGAAAGGTTTATGTCAACATTCCATGAGTATAGCTATAGTGATACAATTTCATGCAACTTTTTTTTGCTTTTTCGATCTTTCCTTTTACTAAGTGAAGAAAGAAAAAACCGGTTCTTCTTGATGTGTAAACTAATTGAATAGTGTCTTTAAAGTTACGGGTAATTGTATAGTAGTGTTGGACAATGTACCTTATGAATGAATAACGTAATAAAGTAGACTGTGCAAAGCAAATCGAAAAACTATTTTATAACAATGACAGCATTATTTTTTTAAGTAAATATAAAGTTACAAAATAAACATAAGGATGCAAGAATAATGTGTCAAAATTAAACTAGGAGTAGTAGCTCAACAGGTTATAATAGCCCAATATATGGTGTGGGTCAATGGCCCAATTTATGTTTAGTTGTTCGAAACCTTTTTCATATCAAGTCAAACATTCATTCCATTTTTTATATCTTATAATATTATTTATAAAATTTCATTTTACTTTTCATTAAACATTTTTATTACTTAATTGGTGGTGACACTTTCACAATTCAAGCGATAGAGATTTTAAATTAATTGTTATTATAATCGATATTATATTTATATATAACATTAGTTATAACGTACATATGTTGAATAATAACTTATTTGATTATGTAGTTTTAAAATAAATTGTATTTGGAAAAAATGTTGGACATTATTTAAAAAAAATGAATTTGAATAATATAAATGTGTAAGTCTTTTTTGGGATTGTCTAATGTAAATGGTAGTTCCACATGATCCATTGAATGTCAATCATAACCTATATAAGAATTATAGATTATGTAATAATATATTTATTAATTACTTTACTTTTATATCAATATCAATATTATAAAATGAATATTAATGAAGAGTCATTAACCATATCAACAATAATGAATGTATAAAAAAAATTTCATGCTAAAAATTGTTAGTTGGATTTTAGAATTTACTAATGTTGAAAAAAATTATGTCATGTAGATAATTTTAGTTTTATAATAAACTATATTTTTTGTCATAATTATATTATTTAATATAATAATTATTTTAACAAAATATTTTATTATAATTTAAGATTTTATATTATAATAAAAATTATGGTAATGAGAAATAAATATTTTATAATTATAATCTAAATATTTTTTTATCTTAAGATTATTATACATAGAATATTATAATTCTAATAGATCAATGTACATTATCAATACACTGACTAAAATAAAAAATAATAATGGTTAATATTAATTCTTAATAATAAAATAAATAATTTTTATTTAAAATTATCATCTTTATCCTTTCCTCTTCTTCTACTTCTCATCTTTATTTATTATTTATTAATAAAATATATTATTTATTCTTCAAAATCAATAATCAAGATTTATCACTAATTTATATATTATCTTTTTCAACTCATTAAAATATTTTGAAAAAATAAAATCATATTAAAAAATTCTAAAACGAAGATATCTCATACATAAAAATTAATCATAATATTATTTGAGATCGACTCTTTCTAAAAAAAATATTAACGCAATAAGTGAGACGGTCAAATTCTCTGTAATACTTTTTTATACTAAATATCCCGAATAAGTTTGAGTATCTCAAATAAGGTGTGAATATTTGACTATTTATGTAATGTTCTACATTCTCGGAATGGGTACCTATAAGTGAATAAACATAAAACTCACCAAAATAATCAATTAACTCATAATATAAAGCATTGTCTTACCTATTATTTTAATTATATGTGAAATGAACTATTATTTAAAGAATTAATATAAAATGTATTATTATTTTTTTCAAGAAGAATTCCCGAACAAGTTTGTTGACTGAATAAAGAGTATAATGTCTTTTCCATGGTCCACTCTAGGTTATGGTGTTGATAGTTGAGTTGAGTTGCATTGCATTGTAACATCAAATCACTGTACCAATGGAGCTAAATTCTATGCCCACTTTTGAGAAAGGTGACGAGGGTCCAAATCAGAAGGCTATAAGTTAAGAATATATAAGTTAAGACGAAGGTCTTGCACAACGCTTCGCTTTGGTCCAATTGTTCTCTCAACTTTCATATTAATTTAATAAATGGAACTCATTTTGTACAGTTCTATTGACTAAGATGTTTGGTAAGTTCAATGAAAAAAAAATTGTTTAAACTCAATTGCATTGGATAAAGGAGATAGATTCGAGCGTTGGACTTTATTAATTTGAATTAAAAACACATTTAAAAGTAATAATGAAATTATATGAGTAAATTTAAAAATTAATTATTTTTCATTTTATAAAATGGATAAGTTATTAAGTTTGTTTGGACGAATGTATTAATTTCAGTTTAAAATATATATTTTTTAACAAATTTATAGAAGAATAAGGTCAAAAACTATAAAAAAAATGTTTAAATTTAACAAGTCGTACATCCTATCTTGGACATAAAAAATTAATATAATACAAATAAATAAAGTTATATTTTCACAATCCATACAGACATCTTATACAAAACACTATATATATATATATATATATATAATACATCATATTAAATTAATCAATTGTAAAATGAATATTTGGATGATCAAAGAAACATTTCTTAAAAATAAAACATTTATTTTGACAACTTCTAAATTAATTAGGCTAATTTGAGAACCAAAAGAATTGAAGTATAACAAACTGAGTTATTTTATAAAAGGGTAACAATTTTCCAACTTCAAATATCATAAAAATAAACAGTTTCCGGTTCTATTTAAAAAAATATATTTTTAATTATTCAATTTACATACACAACGGGTTTGAATATAAAAAACTATTTGTTAATGCAAATCTAATTTAGTTCAACAGTACTAACACACATATACTTACGGATTAAATTTATTGAAAACTATAAAGTTATTGGTTAAATAAAAAGTGAAACATAACAAAATATGAGTGTTAATAAAATAAAATATAACCAATATATTAAAGAACTAATTAAAGAACACTTGAGTGTTAAGGAAATATAACTCAGTTACTTGAAAAAAGTGTGAATTATTGTAAGCTCTGTGATAATATAAGTTCAATTCCTACAGTAAAAAATAAAGCACACGAGTAATACTTCTTGTTGAATGAAAGATTCTTATTTTTTGTTCATGGATATCCACCAGTATTCTAAGACTTGCACTCAGAGTAATATGTTAGGTTACAATATAGTCTTCAACACTATTATTAAATCAACATCATACTTAAATGATTTAAGAGATGTATATATAAAAACACCATTACTAAACTAAGATTTGCATTGATCTGAGGCAGAGAGTGAGACAAAGTGATTAGTTGGTGAACTTGTTTGTTTAAGCTGGGGAAGCCCCATATGAGTGTTGACCAAAACATGAGATCCAAAATCATGACCATTGACCAATCATGCAGAACAATGGTGTTTGCACACACATCTTTTGGAGAATGAAGACATGACCCAGATCTGGTGAGAAAAGGGAGCACAAAAAGGGATGGGAAAAGTGAGCTAACCTTAAAGAAAAAAGGGGTACTGAAAGAAGAAAAAGAGAAAAAGAAAGAAAACCATGCAGAACAGACCATGCATTATTGTTAATGTGAGTTGTTTCTGTTGTTCTGATTACAACAAGTCAATGGGAAGCGACAAGAGGTAGTGGACGACATGGTCACTGCCTTCGGAGAAATTCATTCCCAATCCGATAAACTCCAATCCAACCAGACATTCTCTCCCAAAAGCATGTCTTTGAGATGGACACTATAATCATGCCCTCATCATTGTAATACTCTTTCTTTTTTTCTTCATCAATTCTCTACCTTGTTTCTTCATTATTTTTTATCTCAATCAATTATAACTATATATCATGGCATGCACAATAGATCCTCGTTATAATAATTTGTGAAATCAACCATGCTGAAATTGCTGCTTCCTTTCTTCATCATTTTGCTAAATAATAACATTTCTGTTTAGTATAAAGTTTTACAGGGTTATCTAATAATAAATCATTATCCAAATTTATATAACCTTTTACAATACATATTTAAATTTTAAACTAAAGTAAGTTCTAATTGAGTCACAATGTAAGACTATTATATAGTGGGAATGTATAACCATGCTTCAAATCTTGAAGTAAGTTTTTTCTTTAAAGTTATTACAATTGATTTATGATTTATTTAGATAACTTACTTATTGGAATTTTTATAAGATGAAAAAAAATAAAAAATAAAATACAATTCTTCATAAATAAAGATTAACTTGTATAAATTTTAAAAAATATATAAGAAATTACTTTTCAGATTAACTTATATATTATTTTAATTTGAAAAAAAAATCACCATTTTTTATTCTTATTTTTTTTAAAAGATCCTTATAAAATATTTCTTTTAACGTGTAGTAGTAAGATTAGGACATTACTACAATAACATAAACAGTGGCGGATCTTCATAGTAATTAAGGGGGTCATGGCCCCCCAAAATTTTGTAACTTACTTTTATATTTATGATTTTAACCCCCCAATATTAAATATATAATAAAGAAAAAAATTAAAGGAATAAATTAAATAAGAAAGATTAAATTACATAAGCTATAATGTTGTTGTCACTACTATAAAAAATTATATCTATTTATCATATAACAGTATGATAACTGTAGTAAGTTTGAGATTTCATCAAAATACAAAATGTGTCACTACAAACTATCAACTTTTTTGGACATGATATGTGTAAGCAAAGTAACAATATATGTTAACTCAATGTTGTTTAGCTTGATTATATAATTGGATACTTCTTATAATAGGATAACTTTCTCATTGTGTATCATGTAGGTGCAAAATATTAAACTACAAACACAATTCATTGATAAATACTTTTTCACACTTCTTGCTACGGAATTTTTTTATAATTTGACATGTTATTTACTGAAAAGGAGAGTATTTAATGTAGGGATAATGAATAGAGTTTATGATAGGCATCAATTTAGTTTTTCAGTATGTAAGCTTCTTCAAATAAATATTATTATTAGTTTATTTCATGCAAGCAAAGC